TACATCATAGTAATTTATGCATATTATGATGGCTAACCACATATAAATGTTATTTGATGAAAAACGACGTGATCATGAATTTATTCTGCACTACAAGACAAACTCACACTGTAACGCGAGACGCGAGAGTCGTGGCAAGCGTGGCAAACCTTTAAAACAAGAGAACAAATGCCATACGCCATTTGTAAATGTATTGTTTTGGTTTACGAACGGTAGATAATTAATGTTTTCGACGTGTTTTTCAAGAAAAACACACATTTTACTCATTAATATAAAATATACTATCACTGTAATTGTAATTCCGAGTAGAACTATATTATTTTCATCTTAATATTCAAGTTACGAGAGGGTCTGGGCTCTCGTAATGTTAGGAGGAAATTTCCGAGGATTTTTCATTCTCGTAACTTTGCGATGTTTCTGTCAACGGTTTTCGAGTGGAAGTTAATGTTAAGACTAATCATGTTAAGACTAATTTTGTTTCTGACAACGGGCTCCAGAGCATATAGCTAATTTTAAAATGCAAAGATTTCGCGTGGAGTTGCCATACCATGTCAGCACCATTGAAGTCCAGTAAACTACATGCCATAGGTCTGGTAGCATGTGGTCAGGAACATGGCTCCATGGCTCCAAGCACGGCTCTTCAACTTTCACATTCCTCACCACCACTGTCGCCGTGTGTGCCGTGGAAGGACTTACTGTATCTGTCGCACAAGAGAAACACCGATAGCTTATCCACAGCTTGCTATTGCTCAGGAATAATTATTGGCAAATTTGTAGAAATTAAAATAAATTTGCGACTTTTTACCGAGAATTTATGACCAGCGGGACTTTTACGTACCAAACTCCTCAGACGCATTCTGTGTGAAGTTTATCACTGGTATCACGGTGGATGAGGTGGTGAATGAAGGTGCTACTGTAGGTGCATTGTCTTTCAAACACTGCTTATAAAATGTCTGCAAAAAACATGAAGATATACACACAACTGTGTGGTGAAGTTTTGTATACAACCAGCTGAGCCGCTTCTCCTGCTCTACCTGCTTCTACACTACTCTACTTACACACACAACAATTTTCATATCCATATTTAATTTCCAATTTTCATATCCATATCATATATTCATATCCAATTTTCATATCCATGCATTCCAGTTACTAATTTAATTGCATGCAAATTTCTACAAAATACTTCTACAAAATAATTTCTTCAAAATACAATGATTACATTCTACAAGCATGTTTTAAAGTCAAATTTAATATATAATATACAATCATGATAATTTAAAAGAAAGATTTTTCATTATTTTGAGATTGTTTACTCCAGATATTATCTATGACTTCTACTGTTGATAAAAAATAAAAATAAATTATAGATAAACATGACTTACTGAGGAAATATCCAGTGGCAAAATAAATATAATGATAAATGAAAAGTACCAGGCAACCAGAGCTGCCAAGGTAACCAAAAAATGCTGCCTCTTCCAGTCTGCATATTTATGCAGTAGGTACACTGCCAGGCAGAATACACAGAAGATTTCTACGGCTAGTGGACCCACACTCATGATGTCTGCTCAGCTTCAGCTAGATTCATATTTGGAATGTATCTGAAATTTATACGAGATTGCATTGTTATTAGCAATATTACCCAACTACCTACAAATTAACAGCACTAGCTTTTTATTTGCTATTCACAGAAGTGTCACCAGTCTACAACTTGGCTTGTTTATTCACTTAATTACTGGCTGTTATTTTTTATGTACAACAAGTGCCGCAGAGCGACAGCGCTCAACTGAAGTGTACTGTAGCCGGGTATTCCTCTGATAAACTCACTGGCAACCGAAGCAAGTGCGCCTTCCCGCCACCGCGTTGCTAGGCTTTGCTATACCGGTAGTACAGTAATAAAGATATAGCTGTGTAACTTTAATGACTTCGCTATATTAACGTTATCATGGATATGCGTCGAGCGCGAGCGTAGTGGTGGTGATGGGGGGCCTCTAATAGCAAAAGCAGTTCAGTCCTTTGTTAACAGTCAACAAAT